TTGGCCTGGTCCATCTAAAAAAGGTTGTCATATATAGATGGATTTGCAGTGTCAGTGCTTCAGGCTTTCCAAACAGCTACCCAGATCTTTAGTACAAATAAATTTGACATTAAAAAATAAACATTTTGATGAATTTGCAAATGGGGCATGGCAATTAATCCTCCACATAAAAGATTTTTTTACATGCAATCTAAAAAACAAGAGTTCTCTAATCTTCAATCTACTAGTCACTTACCAGGGCCGCGCCCTGATCCTGACGGCGAGCTGTCAGAACTAACTGCTGAGAGCGCCTGGCTTTGTTTGGAGAGCGTCGACACACCCAGGATTCATCCTGCGGTACAGAAGGGTGGCTCTGGAACACCAAGAACAATAATTAGAACTCCAAAGAGTTTGGATATTTGTGATTAGAGTTTGCATATGAAGGTGATGCTGCAAAATCGGACCATGAAATTAGCTATATTTGTAATTGCAATCCCATAAAGAGAAGTTACGGCATGAAAAATGATGTCTTACGTCTTACTGCTTGGTGTAAAATGTTTGTTTTTTTATAAAGTATGATACACAATAAATTGTGTTATTATAAAGTAAATTATAACGTATGATTCTTGGTGCAGATTAAAACTAGCTATGAAAAGATGCAAAAAGCAAGGCTAACACTGAAAAGACATATGCCACTTATAAATCAGTCCCAGGATTTCAACTGCAGACATTTATTGATTGATCGATTAATATTAAGTAAATTAGGACATCAACAATGTAAAAGGCATAGAGAAAACTTTTCTCAGGATAAATTGGCATATACATACAGTCTGAAACCTGCTGTATTCTTTCTTAACTCAAATGCAAAGTCACAACTGTTTGGTCAGGAGTTGGATAGTTTTAACAAGAAAAGTCTCAGGTCAGTTCCAGATATCATATCTGGTGACATTTTTAAATAGTCTTTATTAGAAGTCCCTGATCAGCCCTCAAAGAAACTAACCCAACTCAGTTTTAGTCCCAGAGTTAGACATACAAATTTAGACTACAGGTGAAACTGCCAGGACTAAAAAGGTTTAGAATTAAAGGAGGGTCAGTCCAAATTTGACCCAGGAGAGAGTAAAAAAAAAAACTTTTTAACCTCTAAGTAAGGTTTAATAACCCATAGCAGCCGATCATTTGATCTTTGTGGGAAAATATTATATTATTATTGGCTCAGGTTTCTGCATGCTAAAATGTAATCTCTCCAGATCTAGCAGGTAGGGCCGTTTTTTTTTTTCTTCTCTGTAAACTGATGTGTTTGATACGAATCCTGATGAATGTTTTACAGCTGTCGACCTTTGTGATGCTGGTAGGAGCCAATTCAGCAAACAAACAGATATGTGTATCCAAACAGAAGTGGGTATTCTTAGTTTATGATTGATGACTAATGTAACATAAACAGTAGGAATCCAAATTTTAAACTAAATATGGGTTTAGCGTGAAATTATGTCTGAAAAGTTGAGGCCTATTTATTTTTCTTCTCATTTCCTGGAGACTGTATCTATGACTGTTGCTCAACAAAACATAGAAAATTGGTTATAGTGCAACAACAAGCTTCAACTTGCATTTCTGCTGTATTCTATATGACAGTTATGCCATTTCTAAATAACTTGTAATTATGTTTCTACGGAGGGTTCTACGGAACATGGGCACATCTTTTTTTTCTTTTGCGCTATCTCGCAAAACTTTTGCGTTCCCTCACAATATGCTTACTGCAATATTTGCTGGTCTATTTTGCACAAAGTCACAAATGTCAATTTCAAATATATACGCATTTAAAGAGCCTCGGTGAAAACGTGTTCAACTCCACTGCTGCTAATTACTAATCTTAGAAGTTCATATTCAGTTGTGACTCTTAGCATTTCAAGCAGATAAAGTCTGGAACTGACTGTTTCGTGTGGAGAGGCTGGTGGTCATCTATTAGCCTCCTTCCTCTGCTGTCCAGCTCTGGCTTTAGATAGGCTAATAACTAGCATGCCAAAGATGGCTCCCATGTCCCATGACTTATACTTTTTTCTTAAATAAATAAAAAAATATATCAAGAAAAATTGTTGTTGGCATTTACTGCAATACAAAGTGACAGCAAGCATAAATATAGTGTGTAAATTCAGGGCTGAAGTTGACCTGTGACTGCAGCTTCCCATTAAGGAAATAATATTTACTGGAAAGAGCATCAGCTTTCTCAACTTTCTTATCCGAAGCATGTCCCATATATTGCTGCCCTGTATGTATGAACTTTTTCTAGGATTCAATTGATGACTAATTAACAGGCATTGATTAACTGCAATTATGTCAATCAGGTGTGTTAAAGCAGGGAAACACGTAAAATATTGCCTTGAGGACAAAGGTCGGGAAACACCCGACCCCACTTTTTGAGCCAGTCAGAGGTGGAGCTGCAGATGTGCTTTGTTTAGATCATTACATTGCAGCAGCATACAGAACACTTCCTGCTAGAGGGTTGAAGACACAGTGTCATTAATTAGAGCTAGTTGTCCAGGTCCTGAGGTGGCGATCCACCTCCAGACCAACCAACATGCTCAACTGGAGCTACTGTTCTTTTTTTCTGAAATGATATAACAACAAAAGCCCTGAATGCACCCTACAAAATAATTCTATTTTTGTCTTATTGGTCTTTAGAATATTCTCCCTAAAGTCTTAGGGATCAACAAGATATATTGTGGCAAACATGAGATAGGCCTTTGAGTGTTTTTAGTCAGCAGACGTTTTGGGTTTGAAACTTTCCCAGGATGCCTTTCTTTTTTCTTTCTTTTTTTTTTTGCCCAGTCTTTTTTATCATTGTTAAATCTTGAACACTTACTTCAGCTAAGGCAAGTGAGGACTGGTGAGCCTTCACTATTGTTCTGGTTTGTTTTGTGAGCTCCTGGATGAGTCATCACTGCTGTTGGAGTCATTTTGGCAGACCAGCCTCTCCCAGGACGGCTCACCGCTCTTTAGGCTGGGGCATTAGGTGGTGCTTTTTGGGATCTTTTGCCTGCTTCTTTACATCAGATCTTTAAGTGATCTGTACATTTTACCATTCTGGTAGAAATCACATCTTTGTGTGGGCCAAGATTTGTCAAGGGGGTCAATTAATTTTTCAAGTAGGACTATGTTAGCCTGGATAGCTTTTGTCACTCAATAACTGAAATCATAATGTGAAAACCAAAAAAGCCAAAACAGCAGAAATCTGTAAAGTTACAGATATTTGTTTGTTCAAGATGTTACTGCATCTGGTCAAAATCTATTCACTCACTGCAGAATGCTTCAGAACGATTCCATGTTGTTCCTCCAAATTTCCATGCGTTTATAAAAGCCTGATAACTGATGAAAGACGCTGACATGCTGAGTAACATGCATGATGTAGAAATCTGATGCTGCCCTCTTCTGGTAGACTAAAGGAATTACAAAAGCACAAAACGTCCCGCCCCCAAAACCTTTCATTAGAACTCAGTTGTGTTTCGGTGTCTGATTTTCATTGTTTTTTTGTTTGTTTGTTTTGTTTTTTGTTTGTTTGTTTGTTTGTTTGTTTGTTTGTTTTTTTACCAAACATTAAGATTATAATATGGTATTTTTCTTATTTAAAAGGCTTAAACACAGTATGAGTTTTATTGAAGGGGGTTCACTGTGTTGCACAAAAGAGAGTGTGAAATAACATAATACTAAACAATAAAAATATTTAGTAAAGAACAAAAATGTTTACTGTGCAGTTATTTCATATAGTGTAGAACAGAGAACAACCAGAAAAAGTAGCCAAGAGGTTGGCTAAGAGATGGTTCAAGAAAAAGTATTTATGTGGCAAATCCTGTTTAGTGGCTGATCTAATCGAAATCAGAACAAATAACAAATCACAACTTAAGAACCCAAAACAACACATTCTCCTGATTTTTAGTTTGAATGGAGCTCTGTCTGTGTGTGTGTGTGTGTGTGTGTGTGTGTGTGTGTGTGTGTGTGCGTGTGTGTGTGTGTGTGTGGTCACTCTTTCTAGAAGACAGGCTTTGTTTATTTAAGATTAATACATCTGTTTTAACCTTAAAGCTGGTTTTTATTCAGTTTCAGAATTATACAATATGAAATTTGTCAAAAAGTCATTTAAAGATAACTATGTAATCCCAATTAAGAAATAACTTTGTTCCTTTCCCTGGAGTCAGAGTTGCAGCAGTTAATTTAAAAACATTACAATCCTCAGTTTTTCAGCCTGCGTCATGATGGTAAATCTCATTCAATCTAAGTTCTCAGATTTCTTCAAACTGATTTAGACAAAAGAATATTTCTCCCATGCGTATTTCCTAAAATGAATATTTTTTCACTTTAAATTGTCTTCTGAAATAAAAGCAAATTTATTTTCATTTAATTAACATGCCTTTATTCAGTTTGTTGCAAAAACATCGTCTCAGGACAACATTGTTACCAAAGCAGCCTCTTAATTACAGTGGTCACAGTGGTTGAGCTTTGAGTATAAAACTACCAGAGAGGCAGAGAAGATCATGACAGAGGGGCACAGTTAAGGCCAAATATATTCATACCCTGGGCAAAAGTTTTTCATCCTGACTGAAATGTGGTAAATAATGTGAAGGGAGCTAAAGATTAGGGGAATGACCTGGAGACCAAAAGCATCACTTGAAAAATACAAAACCTAGTATTTTTGGTCTAATTTCTAGTGCAAATATCTTATTACATTTAAGACAAAACTAACTCATAATTAACTTTTCACCAAGATATAAGAACTTTTTTAGAGTCAATCATTCTTTGGTGTTTGTAAAAAAAAAAAAAAAAAAGTACTTCCTTTGGCAGATTATTTCACCTGTAACAAAACATTTTTTATAAGTCTGCCATAGAAGCTAGTATTTTTTAATAAATATTAAGAATTTATTTACCTAAAACAAGCTCCTATATCTTGCTGAAAAGTTACTTATGAGTCAGTTTTGACTTATTCCAATTGTACTAAGATATTTGCATGAGAAACTGCACCAAAAAAACTTAGTAAGATTTTATGATTTTGCAGCGAAATCGTCAACCTGCCGGTGGAAACAAGCAGGCAGAAGCCAGAACATAAATGAAGGGTTTGATTGTTACAATGGCAATAAAGATTTTCCATTATTGCAAAGGGAATAAATAATACTTGACACAATATTTTTTTAATTACTCTGGCTTTGGAATTTTTTTTTTTTTCAAAGCTGATTCTACTTTTATGTTTTGTTACTTTTGGAGCGATATCTGTCTCATTCCCTATCAGAAAAAAAACTAAAGTGAAATCTGCCAGCAGTATGAACTATTTTGGCCGTAACTGCACCTCTAATCTAGGCAGCTCATTTCTCAATGATATTGGAGGACTCAGACACTAGTTTGCCATCATTGGTCTCAATGGTTTTGACAATGACGTTTTTCTTGGTGGTGGTGCTGTAGCCGCCAGCAGAGCTGCCGTAGCCTCCACTGGAGTAGCTGCTGTATCCGCTGGAGTAGCTGCCACTCATGCTGTCCATGGGGCCGCCGCCGTAACTTGCTGTTGAGCATCAAGTCAGGCATTAGCAAACAAGGCAGAATGTAAACTGTGTTGAGCCTTCCAGTCTGTTTCCAGACAACTTACTTCTCTGTTTGGAGATGCTGATGGCCTTGATGCCGCTTGCCAGTCTGTCCTCCTCTCCCTCCAGCAGCTTCCTGTAGGTGGCGATCTCGATGTCCAAAGCCAGCTTGACGTTCATCAGGTCCTGGTACTCTCTGATCTGGCGGGCCATGTCCTGCTTGGCTCTCTGCAGTGCCTGCTCCAGATCCTTGATGCGGGCCTTGGCGTCCTTCACCGCCAGCTCGCCGCGCTCCTCAGCCTCGGCAATCTGTGCCTCCAGGTTGGTGCACTAAACAAGCAATTAATTAAATAGTAAAGTCATCTCAACAGTTTTGAATGTGACGATACAAATATTGAGATGGGAACTCCTTGGCAACATTGAGATACCTGTCCCTTGATGGCGTCAATTTCTGCTGTGAGTCTCTGGATCGTGCGGTTGAGTTCGGAGATCTCTGTTTTGGTAGCTCGCAAGTCATCTCCGAATCTGTTGGCAGAGGTTTGCATCTCTTCGTACTAAATGAGGAAAGGAGGTCTTATGAATGCAGCTCTAGCTGAGCCCATGAAGCAATAAATACTTTTTGAGTTATTGAGTACCTTGGTCTTGTACCATGTCTCTGCCTCAGCACGGGTGCGTTTGGCAATATCCTCATACTGCGCCTTGACCTCAGCCACCACAGCATCCATATCCAGGTTGCGCCTGTTGTCCATCTCCACAATGACTGAGGTGTTCTTGATCTGGCTCTGGAGCTCACGCAGTTCCTGGGGAAATTTGACCAACAGACAAAGTCTGTCTTCAGGTCTTGTGGTGTTGCAGGTGTCAGATGTTTAGCTATGCCTTCACTTTAGTTTGCAATAATGGTAAATGGAATACATTATTTTGTAGATTAAAGATAAAACTATCAGAGTCAGTGGCATGGCTTTGGAACGTTAAACAAGCAAAAGACATTCAAGGCTGTCACACTCTTGTGTCTTGAAGATCTTACGCCGCCTGGACTTCAGAGCAACTAGGTCATAGGTGTAAGTAGTGATGGGCACTGCTAGCTAAAAAGTTAGCTGTGCTAAGCACAAATAATTAACATTAATTCCACTAATGGTAAAGCACAGCGTCAAGGTGGTATTTAGCAGAAGCTAATGCCAATGCACTAAAATTGCTAGTGTTAAGAGAGGAAAAATTGTTGAACTTTAAAAACCTTTTGACTCGTTAA